TGCAGGGTCAGGATGTGGTTGAAGAGTGGACTCTGAAGAGTCTCGCTCAGGTTCCCCAGTGTCTCACTGTGGGTCCACTCCTCCTTCTGGACTAGTTTGGACTGGAGACGCTCCAGGGCTCCCAGAACCTGCTGGCGGTCCATCAAGGACACTGAGGACACACAGAGACACAGATGTCTTATCCAGCATGTGTCGATGATTTGAGCCTGAGTGGACAATCAGCTGAGTGTTAGACAGTTTACCTGCTGGGACGTTGTCCAACATTATGTCCAACTGTCTCTGTTTCTGGATCAGTCTAAATACAGGAGAACAGACATTAGCTGGAGCAGCTGAGGGTCAGGACTTGATTAATATCTGGATCAGGTCCAGGTATTAAACAGATGAGCGTCAGAGTCTGACTAATCTCTGAATTAAATCCAGGTATTAACAGATAAGGATCAGGACCTGACTAATCTCTGGATTAAACCCTGGTATTAAACAGATAAGGATCAGGACCTGACTAATCTCTGGATTAAACCCTGGTATTAAACAGATAAGGATCAGGACCTGACTAATCTCTGGATTAAACAGATAAGGATCAGGACCTGACTAATCTCTGGATTAAACCCTGGTATTAAACAAATGAGGATCAGGACCTGACTATTCCCTGGAATCTGTTCAAAGTACTTATTAATTTAATCCTGGAACTGTTGCACCTGCCGGGCCTCGCTCACCTGTTAACATAAACACCGTACTGACGTCACAACCCCGCCACAGTTTGGTTGTTTACAGTAATGGTCTTTGCTTAAAGCGCATGCCCAAACACAGTTTCAGCGCTGATTGCCAGGTGAGAAAACTACACATATACCGGTCAGAAACGAGCAGAACCAGAACCACCTGACCCAATACACACCTTAAATACACTTCAGACGAAAGATGGCCGCGTGCACCAACCTGAGCTCACCTGTGAATTACCCGGAAGTGAGACTGGGCGGTTCAGAGAGTGAAGGAAACAAAATAAATCTCACCTGTATCCTGACTCAGAACTCAACAGGTGAATTCTAAGGTCTCCAGGTGAAACAGGTGCATCGAACCTTTATCAACAGGTGAAAAAAATCGTACAGAAACCGCGGGAACAGGTCTCCGCAGGTCCGCTTCTCACGCGAGATTTGCAGAACATTAAAGCGCGTCAGCCCAGTCCGTCCAGCAGAACTTCGTCAGAACTTTTCCAACAAACACACCGGCTAACCTGCTAACAGCTGACACACAGCGGCGGGYAAGTCAGCTTTAAACCCGCCCGCATCCGGTTCAGACGGACCCACAATCACACCAGGGACTCATGGACAGCTGCCCGACACTGCGCAGCTATTTAAAACACTTCCGAACCGGACCAGAACTCACTTTCACCGAAACCAGTTTCACACCAGCGTTGCTTTAATGTTGCCTTCAGGCGCAATCGGAAATCTGGGCTTTCGCTGATTCAGGGTTCCATGTGATGTGGGATTTTTCAGCTCTGTTACAATAACATTGACTTATTAAATAAAACGTGTCACATAACGACTCAACTTTAAAATACATTTTATAATATTTAACAAGTCAGTTTATTTTAAACAAATCAGATAAAATTTGTCCTGAAGGCAGAAATATTTCACACCTGTAACAGAACCCTGGTTCTGGATCAGGTTCTGCATCACACGAACATTTAGAAACCGTCTTTTATTAAAGTAAACGTGACCTCAGAGCTGTTATTAGTCTCACAGAGAAACAGTTTTTATTTTAAAAGAGGCAGCAGGTTTGTTGGTGCTCTGATTTCCCACTGTCCTGAAGGCAGCAGCACGTCACGTGACGCGTCAGTCATGGCGCTGCGGTGGCTGCTGTGTTTACCTTCCGGGATGATTTTCTTGCTGCTTTTCTGTTTTTATTCCCACTTTAGGCTCCTTCTGGCCGAACAGGTGGACACCTGCGACCACCTGAGGCTCGGACAATATCCTTTCAGTCACGTGACACAGCTCAGCACACTGACACGTGCTTTTGTTTTTGTTCCGTGGACGTGGTTAGCCGCTAGCCGRGCGTTAGCTTAGCTTCAAATTCTGCAGAGTTTGTTTTGTTTTTGATTCAACTCCTGAATCAAAAACATTTGACCCGGTCCAGCAGAATCTGCACCGGGTCCGGACCGAACCAGACCGATAAAAATCTGAATCTGCTTCGGTTCTGTTTCTGTGTTCATGTCAGATGTTCTGATCCATTTGGACTTCTTGACTCTGATCAGGTATCTGTGTAAGGACCCGAAGATCGATGACGTCACCCAAGAACCGGAGACCTGCCGGGACTCCACGGCGTGGGGTGAGTCTGAGTCCGGTACCAGGTCAACCTGAGGGTAATCCTTCATGTTATATAGTACACCTGAGAGTAAACCTTCATGTTATATAGTACACCTGAGAGTAAACCTTCATGTTATATAGTACACCTGAGAGTAAACCTTCATGTTATATAGTACACCTGAGGGTAAACCNGTTTACACTCATCTACAGGTCAGGACTCTACAGTTTACACTCATCTACAGGCCAGCGGTCACTCTTTCAGGGATGAGGATGTTCTCATCCTTGATAGAGAGGAACGTTGGTTTGAGAGAGGAGTAAAGTTCTTCCATCTTTGTGAAGAAAAACCCTCCATCATTAAACAGAGGTGGAGGCCCCCGTTTTCAGTTGTCCTCCTCCTACAATGCTGTTATTGCAGATGTGACTCCGCCCCCTGTGAGCAAAAGGTGATGATCTGGGCACTGATGACCTGTTTCATTGCTGATGGCTGAAGACTTTTAATAATTAAATATGCTTTAGATCAGAACTTAACAGTAATGTCAAATATTTTAAGATATTTACTCAAGCACTATTTTAAGAGAAGATCTTAACTTTTAATAAAATAAATTTTAGGTAAGATACTTGCACTTTTACTCAAGTATCAATTTGAGGTTCTTTATACTGTTTATCAATCTTGTTTTAAGCAGGTAAATCCTACAGATCCTGTGACTGGATCATAGAGATAATYAATAATAGATTCTTTATTTTTACCACATTTTTACAAAGTGTCACGTTTTATGTCACACAAAAAGTGTCTCCAAGCGTTTGGGATTATAAGCTAAAAAGAAAAGAAAAAATCGGACAGCTCAAAGTGTCTCTGGAACTGTTTAGTTTTTATTTTTAATTTTCTAGCTTCTCAGTGAGGGAACTAAACCATCTTTCATTCAAAATGAATTTTCCTACAGTATTTCTCTTTGCAGTTTTTGCGGTTGGGGAAGAAAATTGCTGACATAAAACCAGTTCGATTTTTTTAAATACTGTGTGAATTTTTCCCATCATGTTTGAATGATCTAATAAAAAAAGAGTTTTGTTCTTGTCACATACACACAATGTAAAACAGATGGAGGAGATAAAAACGAAACCTTCAGGGAACTAAAGAAATTACACGTTCTGCACAGATGCAGCTGGGAGCCATACACTGKTAAAAATTGCTGAAATTGAAATGTTAAAGTAAAACTGTGACTAAAATAGTAAAAACAGTAGCCAAAGGAGCATAAAAGGTGACAGGATTAGTATTCTGAAATAGTTTTCAGAACAAATGGAAGACGTGATGTTTGTTAGACTTCTAGTGTTTTCTGAGCTTTTAATTTAATTTCATTTATTAGTCAGGGACATTTTGTTTATTAGTCAGGGACATTTTATTTATTAGTCAGGGACATTTTATTTATTAGTCAGGGACATTTTATTTATTAGTCAGGGACATTTTGTTTATTAGTCAGGGACATTTTATTTATTAGTCAGGGACATTTTGTTTATTAGTCAGGGACATTTTGTTTATTAGTCAGGGACATTTTGTTTATTAGTCAGGGACATTTTGTTTATTAGTCAGGGACATTTTGTTTATTAGTCAGGGACATTTTGTTTATT